CTGCTGAAATCAGCTCTGCTGTCAGTTATTTTATTGATAGCAATTTTATGGAGCACAACTCTACTCATGCATGGCACAGCAGGCATAAGGACATTACTTATTATTACAGGGGAATCCAAAACTTGAGTGCTTGAAAGTAAGAGACTGCAACATTAATTTCTACACTTACAAGTTCTCCCCCATAAAACCTATATACATACAGACAGATATGCACACAAATATTTGCCAAAGAGATGGGGATGAGATGAAGAAAAATATTATAAGGACTGATCTGGAAAATTCAAGGAAGAATGAAAGAAGCACACAATACTGAGCTGGAAATATTTGAGAGCTATAATTGAGCTAAGAGTGCAAGCCCCTGTTGAATGGCAGGATTGCTGCTGCCTCTTCTCTCCTGGAAAAGTGAATGGGTAAAAGACTAGACAGAACACACTAGTCAACATACGAATGCACATGCACATACAAGATTTTAAAGTACACATTTGTATCATATCCTTAGTAACAAGATTAAAAATACCTGAAGAGAATTGCACTAAACACTTCAAATTACAGAAAGAAAATACTAGGAGAAGACAGAATAACCAAAATATTGTTTATAACTAATGCTTCTAATTTACAGCTGAGCACAGTAGTTGAGAAGGAAGCTTCTTCACACCATCATAAGTTTTTCATAATTTTTAAAAGGACACAAGAAAGTTTTTTTCACACATCAATGTGTCTGGAAAAATATGGAGGGTTTTAGTATCTATTTTTATGTCTTTCTGTATGTGAACTGCCCACTGAGGCAAATGACAACTATTCATAGATTGCCTCCAGCTCTGGGAGTATCAAATGAGGCAGTTATATACAGCTGAGGCACTCAAGACTGCACTTACAGGAGCACACACACATTGTTGTAAAAACCTAATACCAAGTTCTTCACATCTCACATGGAAAAAATTGTAAAAAACAAGACTAGAATTAAACTTACCACAGTAGTATTATCATTTAATAAACATTTAATTTACACAGCTTGTGTATCTTCTAGGATCCACTTAGTGCCCTAAACACTTAAGCTTTTATTTAAGAAAATGTTATAAATATTTGAAGTTTCCTTCTGGAAAACTGACTAGTTTTTTTATTTCCATTAAAAAAGAATCTTGAGAAAAAAAACAATAATCAAACACATTCGTAAATCATTCAGTTATTGCCTTTCTGGTTTTAAAATTATGTTAACCATGTAATCTCCTCTGGGACTATGCTCAAGTTAAATTCAGCCCTACAGAAACATACACCACAAATGCTACACAATAATTATAAGCTTTAAACTGATGGATAAAATTGGCTGTAATACTGCACTTCACATAAACTGACTGCTCACAAGAGTAATATTTTAACATCACAAACATTTAAGCTATGTTGCAAATGAGGGTGGGGGTTATGTTCAGTTCATGCCAAAGATGCCAGATCTTATTCCTATCATCTCTTTAATGAAAAGAAAACCCATTTTCCTAGAAATCTACATGACTATAGGGAAGTGGAAAAAAAAAGTGAAAACTACAGGCTGGTTTTGGTGGTGTTTTTTTCCCTTCCCCCATAATCCTAAATGTTTAGAAAAGTTTTCAGTAGGAAGAAAAGATTTTGTCTTTGATTTTTATCCACTGTTTCTGTCCAGCTCAGGCACATTTCTTCTATGTGCCTCAGCCACCACAGTCACAGTGGGGAAAGGCTCTAGCATGGCTCCATCCCCAGTGCTACAGAAGACTGCTTTTTTTAGAGACTGGTGCTAGACCATCAGCTGAAAACCACTAGGAAATTTAGCCAACTTCACTCATCACTAAAAAAACAAACAAACAAAAAAACAACAGCAAGTAGACATTTTTTATTCACTCTTTTTAGTAGTTTTGCTCTCTAATTTCCACAAATTGTTAAGAGTCCTCTATTCTTGGAGGTGCCAGGAGAGGGGGGACAGCAAAACTGCTACCCTAGTCTTCCGAAGGGCAAACTTCAACTTGTTCAGTAGCCTGACTGACAGAATCCCTTGGAAATAATTCTGAATGGTATAGGAGGCCAGGAAGGCTGGACATTCTTCAAGAAGCAAGTCTTGAAGGCACAGGAGGCAGGCCATCCTCATGTGCTGTATGGTGAGCTGGTGGCATAGAAGACCAGCCTGGCTGAACAGGGAGCTTTGGCTGGTGCTCAGGGAGAAAAAAAGAATCTATGGCCTTTGGAGGAATGGGCAGGCCTCTGACAATGACTACAAAAATGCAGTGAAGCTATGCAAGGAGAGAATTAGAAGGTCCAAAGCCCAGCTAGAAATAATTCTGGCCTCTACAGTAAAGGATAACAAGAAAATATTCTATAAAAATATTAACAACAAAAGAAAGACAAGGAGACCCTCCATCCCCTATTACACGCAGGAGGAAACAGTGACGAAAGATGGAGAAAAAGCTGAGGTACTGAATGACTTCTTTGCCTCAGCCTTTGGTGACAGGACCAGTTATATAGAGGGAATCCCACTCCCAAAGCTAAGGGACAGGGACCAGGAGCAAAATGGTCCCCCTCATAATTGGAGAGCTGCCCAGCAGAGAGTGACCTCAACCTCAGGGTGTTGATTGACAGCTGGCTGAACATGAGCCAGCAGTGTGCCCAGGTGGCCAAGGCCAACAGCATCCTGGCTGATGGTTGGACTTGATGATCTTCAAGGTCTTCTACAATCTTAATGATTTTATTACTCCAATGTGTTTTAGTACTACACTGGAACATAAAGACTGCCAAACAGGACACAAGTTAGTGGCAGAAACACTTGTCCTTCATCAGAAGAATAGCTACTTAAAGCTTTTTACATGGTGATGGGAAAGAGGATTAAAAATTAATTTGTTAGCACCACACACATTTGTGTATGTATATAATACATAAATAAAAAAAAATGTTCAGATACACTAGGATCACTGATTGCTCAAATATATTGTTCCAACAAATACTGAATAGACAGTATTGTTTGAGGACAAAATGTGAATTTACTGAAATCAATAAACACTTTAAAAGTGAACACTTTTTACATCAATTGGGTTTTAAGACAAAAAACTCCAACTTCCATTACATGACAGTTAAGACAAGTATAAAAAGACCTCATATAGACCTGAAGACAAGCAGAACACATAGGGTTTTTTTAAAATCAGTATGCAATTTTTTATGTAAATTTGTTTCTCCTTTAAGTATGCTGAAAGACTCAAGGTAGCAGAAGGTGCAGACTAACTTTTAAGCAATACCTTAGATAATCTGACCTTTCCAATATTTAATATTGGTTTTTTTACTTCATATTCCTAAATTTTCTCAGTGTAAACTTTCAGTGGCAAAGAACTTCATTACGTTTTTTAGAACAACACATAGTCCCATACCTTCAGCTGGGGATATAATTAGATGTGATACAAAAAAATCAAACAACCATTTACGTGTATTACAAGTCAGATTTTCTAGACCTGACAATTATCTAAAATGGTCTGTCTTACTAATTAGAAGACGGTGGCTGCAACTTCAAGTACAGCCAAATCATCACGATTTCCACCTCATTAGGAATTTCATTATTTCAGTGACAATAGCATGTTTTCCAAATCATTAAAGCATAAGCCATTCATACAATTATTTACAATATTCCTAAAACCTGAGCAACTGAAATAACATCCGTATTACAGTTCATCAATAAGTTAAAAAATGCACAAGAAAACCCACACCTTTCAAACACTACTGATATTAGAATGTCACTTTTATTGCCATTTATTTTATAATTATCAAATTTTAAAAGTACTTATGTTTTGAGCACCAGCAAGATTAACAGTTTCAGCACCTAAAGGCTAAATATTACGCTGTATTAGTAGACTTCGATAGCAGCATATTTTTGTGCAGATCTTGGGATTTCATGTGCCCTGACCTTATACTATAAGACAATTAGAGCAGGAAAAAAAGAAACCTCAAATTGTGCACTTACTTATTCAGTGTGAGGTCAAGGATGAATTTGGAACCAAAGGCCTCAATCTGGAAACTTGCCTGGGCCAGATGTACAGCCTGTAAACATGAACACACAGGAGTACTATATAGTTTTGCAGAACACTTAAAGTTGTCAAAAGAATCACTGAACTTTATACATAATAAATATGTGACAAACACCTATGAAAAATGAAGTTACGGAAAACGTGTCTATTTTCATTAATCTCATAGTGATACAAAAAACTTTGGCCCTGTACCAAATTTGGATTCTAAAGGATTTACCTATTTAGAGGTTGAATGAGGAGAGGCAAATGGTACATGAAATGCATGCTTTCAAATCCACACTCATTCCTCACAAAACCAAGAAAATAAGAAAAAAGATTCATATAAATGTCTATTTTTTGCCATAGCCAGATGGCCATGTAACAAAAGCATAATTAATGTAGTATACTGTTATTTTAATTATGTTATTGCCTTCACTCACTTTAAAAGACACGAAATAATTAAAGAATTCATGATACACGCCTTTAAGAAAGAAAACCATGGCAAGGCTTGTACACATTTTATGAATGACTCCTTTAAAGTAATCCCTTCACAATGAAAGGCTTTGTACTTAGCATTTTAACCAAACCAGCATACAAAAGACTGATGTTGCTCAACATACAACATCAACCAAAAAAAACACAACACCCAACATCAGCTCATCTCATCTAGGCAGCACACCTCAAAATTCAGAATATTCATTTTCTGGCAGAGATAAAAATGTTAATCTTTATTCTTTTCAATACAGTTATAACTGAAGCCAAAAACATTTAAAATATGCTCATTTGTTATCTAGACAAATAAGGAGAAGATAAGAGATGCTCAAAGAATTCCATTTTGTGAAGACACTGTTCCAGCAGGGTGGATCTGAATTTCAAGGAACCTCTTCCCTGATAATGTTCTAATCAAATTATGTTTATTTATACAGTAATTTGATACAGCATTAGTAACTACATGAAGTTGAAATATTATGGAATATATGGCTAAACCCTTTTACTGAAAGAAAAAAATACTGTTTATTATTAAACACCACAATGAATTGTCAGGTATGTCGTAAAACTCATATGAAGTTCTAGCTACTTTACAGCATCACTGAATATGAAGGTTAGCTTCTATGGCTCACAACGCCTACAATTCTCTCTCCTTTGGAAATTTTTCTACAGAGGGTGTTTCTCTTCCTTTCATGTTCTACACAGAACAGCACTGATTTTCATCTTACTCCTCAGAAAAGGTATCCAAAATATCTCTAAAATCCTTCAATATATTTTAAAAAAAATATTTCTAAAAGTAGCTGTGACATTGCCTATGTTAGTTCAGCATTCTTTGCCCCCAGAATAATAATTTCCTTTTGAACAGGGTCACAAAGGTTTGTTATCAAGGTGCTTTTAAAAAGTGTAGTTACAAAATATTCTAAAGGTCTTTAATACCATTAAACAATCTCTTAACTAAAGACTGATTTTTTGTTTAATAAAAAAACACAAATAACCTTAAACGATAATTTAAAATATAATATTCCTAGGTGGTATCTAAAATAATACAGAAGCAAACTGGTATCGAGCTTTCTCTGTTACATTTTTTTTAGTAAATTATATTAACATTTGTTTCACCTGTTCACCAATTTGCTCAGATAAGCTGGCCTGGCAAACTGAATTTACATCTGCTCTGAATTACCAGCATGAAACAGATTAAGTATAAACAGGTGACTTGATGACTTTAGAGAATGTCCATCAAGAGATAGCAGAGAAAATCTTCAAGGATAAAAGCCAGCATATATGTAAAAAAAAAACATGTTTTGCAGCTCCTGCTCCAATTTTACCCACAGTGAAACCAATGAATAAGTATCAAAAGGAACTTCATTATGTTTTCAACATGTAGAAATTTAATTTTAAAAGGCATACACTTTTTTTTTTTTGCAGAAAAGGGCTGTAATTAGTTTTATCCCAAAAAGACTCCACTTGGAGTTACCAGAACTACTGCTTTGAGTGTCCTTCACATGTAGCATTTACATAAAACTACGTCTTCCTACATATGCCACCAAGAAGATTTCAATATTAACTATGTAGAAATTTAGAAGAACATGTACTGTTCCTTTAAGATAGTTCTGAAACAAAAGAAATGAGAACTACAGAAGAGTACCTAGTTTTTTGAAGTGTTTCAAAATATCTCCTGCTCAAAGATAAGCATAGTAATTTTGATGTATCTACATACAAACCAAAAAGACTGAGTCTTTTAAGACAGGATAATAATTTACCAATAGTAACATTCCTGCAACACAGTAACATGGAAAAAAGTCACTGCCTAATCAGAACTGATTAAGTCAGTCAGAAGCATAACAATTTGTTAAAGTCATTCTAGAAGCAATACTACCAGTGATCCCAAACACTATACTTGACCAAGTTGACCACAAAAGAGCAAAAGTGACTTTAAACTTTTTCTGGGGTTAGCTTAGAAATAAAAATACACTCTTCTCTGTTGGATAAAAGTGCAGCATTTCCTTCCCATACGCTAAATTTTGTGTTTTGTCACTACTGTTGTTTAGACTGTCAACTCGAAACCAACTAAATAAGCCAAAATCTTTAATATCTTTCCTTTCAAGAATATGCAGGCTACTTAACTGATCAAAAACATGCTTAGGTGTGGAGGATGACATAGCACCTCAAATAAAACACACTTCAAAAGCAATCACAGTCTACTGGTATACATCTTCAGCTTTTGAAACATGCCAAAATGCTAAAACTTCAGCACAAGACATCACAGATACAAAAAAAATGTATGTGTGTAAAAAACCAAAACAAACAAAAACCAACACATCAAAAACTGAATGATCTCAAGATCAGAAACTCCCATCAGGGGGCTATTAAATCCAAAGGACAAATTCTGCTTCCAGAAGGCCCTGCACCACAAACTGCTGGAGTCTGGGAGACCAGTCTAGGAAGCACCAACCCATGACTGATAGCTTTATATCCCTCCCCAGGCAACTGCTTCTGATTGCTCTCAGGGACAGCTAGTCTGGGCATCTAGTCTGATCTGCTGTAGCTTTTCTTTTGTCCAATCAAACCAAATCAATGACACATGTAGATAATCCCTTAAGTTTCTAAGCCATAAAGCATGAATTCTCTCTCTTTCTGCAGTTTAATTTTTTTAAAGTAGCTTGAATTTTTGGTCACTATCATAAGAAAATGTTCTTCTTGTAGAATTATACCTAATTATTGCTGTTACTGAAAAAAAATACTTCCATATATAAAATGCCACTTGCTAGCTATTACTGTGCCTCACTTAACAGATGTAAGCCTGTACACATAAGCAATTGCTCCAAAGCAGCTGACACAAATTTGCTACCCTGCAGTAGGGCGTGTTCTTCAAACTCAGCTCAAAACATTGGATTTTAAATCTCTGCAGTTTAGCAAAAAAACCTGTTCTGAATTCAACAGAATGTGATCACCACTGCTGCAACCAAATACAGATTTTGTTAAGCCAATTTAATAATAGATAGACACCCTCGAAAGTCACTAGGTGAAGGTAAGTAAACTGAAGTTTTTAATCTCAAAGCAGACATTTTTTCTGTAACCAGTTATCACAGAAATCTATCAGTGAGTTGTCATCAGCTGTTTCAGAAGTCACATGCATCACGTACCACCATAATGGAAGGAAGTGGAATTCTGTTATACATCTTATAATTTCACAGTATTCTCTTATCAGCTACTATGTAATACAATGCCTAAAGTGTAATCTGAAATCTAGTGTTTTTCTGATTGGCATAGAAATATAAATTCAAATGAGAATATAGTGTGGCATATATTTTGAAGAATATTTATGGACTAGATCTCTTACTGTGTATTTTCATGGTCATTCTAAGAGTGCTAGTAGTGCAAAGCAGTAGCTCTCAGGGGTTTTTTTTCCAAGCTAAAAATCCATATACAGAGAGAATTCCAGTTTCTTTCAAGTCAGTCATTAGCTTATTGTAAGTTTCGAGAAAGAAATGGACTAGAAAGCTATAACTGGAATCTTGGTTCTGTCACAACCTGAACTCTTCCACTGTTTTCAGTACTGGGCTTGGGCATCATTTGTCTATAATTCACTTTTTCCACACTTTCAGGAATTTTACAACCATCATCATAAAAAGTGAAGTACAATATTGGTTTTACTTTCTCCACAGTAAAAGTATGCCAGATGCAATGCCTTATATTTAAAAAAATATTAATTCTGCCACAAGTCTTTAAACAAAAGTAACAGCATTATTTAACTGACTGACAATACCTATGGGTCATTTACTATATTAATACAGAAATGATCTCCAAATGACAAGCTCATCGCTTTTAGAAATCTATTTTTGCATATAGTTCTGCTGACTAAAATCATGGCCAGAAGCTGCCTCTCATAACAGCAGCTGAGCAAAGGGTTTCATCACTCCCATTTCAGAATTAGAAACCTAAGTCAGGTTTAGATGGATTTTACACCATTAAAGACCATCTAGACCTTCCTTCTTGATAATAACAAATGTTCTGTCACAGATCAACATGGCTATATATTACATTAGTTCCTTATACTTTTTTTTTTTCCCCTGTTTGCCTATTCTTGGATTTTACACAGAAACTATCCTTTTAGTGTTTGGAAAACATCTACTACATGGCACATATGCCAAGGTAACCTTCCACCATTCATTGGAAATAAAGCACTTCATACTGAAACAGCATACATACATGTCACAGCAGCATGTAAAAGCTCATGTTTAAAACATACCAGATTTCAGAAAAGTTCCTGTTGATTATTTCTTTCTGCTTTTTAATGGTTAGTAATAGAGGTTACTCTGACATACTTGAGCCTCAAGCCTTGAAGAACGTTACTTTTAACCAATGATTGTTGGTACGTGAAAGACTTGGGCCTACCTCTGAAAACAATCCTGCTGCTACTCCTTTAACCTTAAGGGCCAGAGCCCACCTCTCTCCCACATGACAATACTTAGATACCTGTCTGTAGTGCTGACACTGGTCTCTAAAATCATTTGTCTCTCACAGTTTTGTTCACAAGACTTTATAAACTAGTGCATCCATAGATTGGACTATTTTCCCACAGTACCCAGCTTCTCACAAACGTTAAGACAATCTAAAAACTTTTTAAAAATTATTTCAGAACAAGGCCTAACAATTGCAAGTGTTGCACCACCTAACATTTAGGAACTGAAACCTTTTTTAGGTTATCACTTGAAGCTCACTAAAGGACACAGAAATATTACCAAAAAAAAGTCTCAGAAATGTTATAACCCACATTTCAACTAGGAAACCAGTACTTAGATCAACTTAAGGGTAAGCTGGCAAAAGGAAGATGGCCTTCTACTCCCAGAAACCAAAGAGTATAGGGAGACTGATTTCAACCCTCCTGTTAGTAACTACTGAAGACACAGAATCCAGATAAGCCTTTGACTTAACACAAATTCAATATAGAATAGAAAAAAAGACAAAGTACACAAAATAATCCATTTGCAAGTAGTATCAATTGAAGCTTCACCACAGAAGATTCTGAAAAAAATGCAAAGCCAGCTGAAATACTACAAAAATTCTCCAAGTCTTCAACTCATACACTTAAGTGAAGTTTGTCCATTATTTTGATCAGTTTTTACTAAATGGGGACTAAAAGTGAAGACCTGGCCTAAGATAGGCAAGGAAAAGGAAGACAATAATTAAGGCTTAGGATTTTAATCTGAATTTTAGTAAGAATTCTTAGGATTCCATCTCTTGAGAGACTATTAACCATGATCTTTCATCTTTTATAAAACAGGCCTCCTTTTACTTCAATACCACCTCTGTTACAATACAATTGTTTTTCTTTCATCTTATGGATGCTTTCCCTCTGAACTTTCATATACTACATACCAAAGTTGCATGAAGGACTGAGACAGCACTGTATTTCAACCTTTAAAGAAAAGCAAAATAACTTCTCTATTTAAACGAGGAACAGCTGACTTGAACAGTTTTCACCCCAAGAAAAGTATCACAAAATTAGTATTTTTGGGGGGTGGGAGGGGATATGTGGGGTTGTGGAACTTGCCTTCACCATTAAAACTACTATCAGATTATTTTTTTCCCAGTCATTAGGGTCTGACAAAGCAGTTTTCTTAACATCTCCTTCCTCCCCAAAATTACACTAACAGCTTAGAATTATGCATTGCTTCTTTACAGCTTCTGAAAACTTAAGATTCAATGATCTAAAAACAGTTAGAAACTGTCCAATAGATACAGTTGTCCTTCATACACACCTACTTGAAGCTATTTTCCACTCAAAACTCAGTAAGGTTGCCCTGAGTTGTGCTTCTTTGGCAATCCTATTATCTTCAGATCACATCTTGCATTGCAAGATTTTTCCCTCTGCTGGATACCATAAGGACTTGCTCCTACCCTTTTGTGACAAGTTCTGTCCCATTAAGTCTTCTTGCTGAATCCTAACAATTCCGTATATGCAATCTACAAAAATAAATTAAAGTACTCAGTCATCTAGTTCAATAGAGATTATCTATTCATTCAAAATGCTACCTCCATTTGCAGAAGATTAGAAAAACAGAGCCACAGAGCACAGATGACTCATACCTTTTCATCAAGTTCAATGATTCTTGTGAGCTTCTTCTGTGTGTCTTTATAAACAGACTAATTTTTGAGTGTTTCACACTAAACCTCAGAAGAACTCAAAGCCAGCTAGCCTTAATTTGACTATGGGGAAACAGGTATACAGATGAGTCTTCAAGTACCCAGTATTTAAAATACGCTTCTTTTTAGAGCACAAAGAGAAAACAGATAATATACTAGAATTCTGTCCATCTTGGAGATGGACCACTTCACTTAGTCAAAACTGGGGTGAACATTCTTTTTCAATGTGAGAAAAACTTCTTAGAAGAGTAAGAAGGAGTAAGAGAAGTTCTGCCAACAGTTTAGATCACATACTCCCTCTCATTATGATGGCATTTCACCAAATTCAAAAGGGGATAAAGAGGATCAATGCGAAGAAAGTAACTTATTTTTGATTCTCTGGTATGTTGTCTTCTCTGCCAAACTTTCACTTCTACATACTTTTCATGAACAAGGTTCAAGACTCTTGCTTTGAAAGAAGAGGATTTAATAAATAAAATATTTTACAATATTTTACATAAATATACTTCTCTAGCTTTACCTCTTTCTTCCCACATGCACACAATTTCCTCTACTCTTCCCCTCTCCTTATAGTGACTCAGCATATCTGAGACATTCAGGCCTAATCCCACAAAGTATCCATATGGTTTGTGTTCTTCTGGCCACTATCATGAACTTCCACATAAAGGGGTCTACTGAATAATATCTACAGTTAGGGAGTATGCAAAGCACATGTATAAATGGTATATTAATGCTAACAAGAAAATAAAGAGTGTATGGTTCCAAGAACAATGAAAGAAAGAAAAACTAGTATTTTTTACCTCAGCTGTTCCCTGTGTATGTATATAACTTTTTTTTTCCCCCATGATCAAAATCAATCCTAATGATATAAATACAGGCTTTTTTCTTTAGCTAACTATAAGTATTTTTATTGTTTTGTTTTATTACCAGTGTGGGAGTCAGCAAAATTTTGCAAGCATGATTTATTACAATGTAATATTTACTTTAATTCTGGGAAAGGATAAAATCTAGTACTAAACATCCCATACACCAAAAAAAAACCACAAACCAAACAAACGTCAAAACCCTCTTTTACAATCCAATTGCATTCTGTTTTCTTTATGGGTTATTTTCCTTTTACAACGTAAGCAGACTTCCCCCTCCTAAATTATTGCTCTACAGAGATGATTACAGTGAATATGAAACAATACAAAATAACCACAATATTTGTTATTATATATTGGTAAAATAGATGTAAGTGTAAAGAAAGGAACTCATGCAAGGAAATACACAAGATGCAAGGAGGGGTGAAGGGGAGGAGCCCTCCATGGTGCTCCGGAAGAAAGATAAGCAAAAATTAGTCCAGACAAGGAACACAATCAACACTTTCCTTCAACTAAATGGATCAAAGGAAAAAACGTTTAGTGCCAGAAGAATGAAATCAATCTAATGTCAACTGTCCATGAAGTCCCAATCTTAAAGAATCCTTCTGTGGGCAAAACTGCAGCGTTAGCGTTCTCTGCACTTAAAAGGGACACAGTGAGTAGAAAGGAGATCCACTTTACACCACACTCAGCACCATGCATAACCACAGAAATCAATACCAATTCTGTCAGCACTGATTTCTGCAGAGCTTTACCCCAACAGGTAAGATATAAGGTAGGACATAGGAAGGATAGGCAACGGCAGCAATGTTCTTGTGGGAATGCTAGGTAAGTAAGGAGAGACTGGCAGACATTTTACTCTGTGTATTCCCAAGAGAAAAAACAACGTAGAAACATGGAGGAAGCACTATTCCCAAAGACACGTCTGCAAGCACTTGCAAATCTTTCTTCCCATACCCCTTGCCAAAGAGGAGAACAGAAAATCCCTGCTGTTTATTTAAGGGAGTGGTCTCACTTTAAAGGGGTATTAGTTCTCCACTTTCCAACAATCAAGCCATTTTTCTGTGCCATCCATAATATATATGGTGTATATGGCACACACTGGTATCCAGGTTCAATAAGCTAAGAAGCAACCTAGCAGCCTTTCTTGCCATTAAAACATCAAAACTGTACAACTATCTCATCTTTTTTTCAAAGCTCATACATCCCTATAAATCCCATATCTGAAATGGCACATAATAGCAACAAAACACACACAGTGCATAACAAAATAACTTTCTGAAATTTCAAAATAACTGCAATTCAATAAGTAGAAACTCCCTTGTAGCTAAGTCCTTCAGTAATATCATACATACTCATCTGCTTTTCTGTCCCTTTCTCTACCATGGCAATCTCTTCCTGTACAAACCTTCTTTACCTTCACTTTAGCTTTATAACTTGTGGGAAGATTATTATTTTTTTTAATAAAAATTTATAAAAATACAGTGAAATCATTCTAAGGGGTACCTCCTAAGTAATACCAGTACAGAGTAGGTTTACTTCTTTACCATACTACTTCACAAAACCAAAGTTTATTCAATCCCATGCAATTTCAGAAAAAAAATACTATATGCATCCATACAAAATAAAATATTAGATCTTGTCATTAAAAATGAAAAAAGTAGGTACTCTTTGACAAAAACTGGTAACACTTCACAGTGGTCTTTGCCGGTCATACACTGGCAGGAAACCAGTACTGCATTTATTAGGTAGTGCATGATACACTCAAAGCCAAGTAACTCAAGCTGTAACTTCAGAATTCTAAAGAAACTCCCTATGCAGACATTTGTGCAGTCTAGACCTATTTTGGAAGAAGCATTTTGTTCATGGTGGTATACCATAAGTCAAGACACCAAAATTTGCACGGATCAGACAAGTCTATTCTTCAGCTTCTGAACCATTCTGAAACTAAAAATACTAGTTTTTAAATTAACACAAGGGAAATTACATTCTTCATTACAAGGACCATTAAGGACCACCATTAAATCTTGAAGATCTACAAAATAAAACATTTCAACACAGTTTCACATCACATATCACTGTTTTGAAAATTCTGCAGATAAGGCTCTTTTTACCCTACCTTGTCGTGTTTCTGCTGGTGCCTTGCCCTTGTATCCAGGATGTGGTAAGGGGTTTCAGATTCTCTGTTGATGTAATAGATTAGTCTTGAAGGCAGTGTAATTTCTTTCTGGATTGCACTGCTGTAGCTGTTATTTTTACTGTTACTGCTTTTATTCTGTTGAAATGAATTCTGTTCATCTGCCAGTGCTCCCTCTATATCGCCTGTTGTTTCATTCCAATGCAGGTCTGAGGAAGAAAGATATGCCAAGCATAAATTAGATGACAGAATGTGTTTATTCCCATAAAAAGGCTCTGTATTCAGCTTTTGGTATTCTAACATTTTATTAATCAATCTATCAAACCAAAAACCTACTCATTGAGCTAGATCTGATTCATTTTTCACACATAAAATAGTTTTTAAAATAGTATTATTTATTTGAGTGCACATACATTTTCACATGCAGTCATGGATTATAACTATTTTAATGCCTCTCAACCTTCAAGAAAAAAAAAAAAGCTTAATGGATATGTAGTTACCCCCTACACCCTCTTTGATAGCTAAGTTCTCTTCATCACACACAAAAAACCAAATACACATCTACAAAAGGCTAACAATGCCCCCGTGTTCCTAAGACAAACTGAATGCTAACCAATTCTCTTTACATAAAAGGAAGATTTCTACCTCTCTCTTTTAACTTTGACAAGAGCCCTTTTTTTTCCAGTGGCAGCTTTTCATACGAAATCCTGTATCCTTCCTCATTAAAATTTCAAGATACAGTCACTCAACAAGCAACGTAACAGTAATAGCACGACACACAAACCGACAAGCATTCCACCCGCCACCTATATGCAATCAAAACCAAATAAACAAAAAGCACACACAAAAACCCGAACAAACCAGCTTCCCAGTCAGATCCCTGTGTACACGCATCCTAACGCACATAGGAACCACCTAAGCTTTTTTTTTCCTTTTTTGTCGCATAGCTCAGCAGGGTATTCTCTCCACACACACCATCCCGTACCTGACACTGCAGCACTGGCTTCAGAAAATCGGAGGAGGAAAACTCACATTGCTCTTTTCTGTATGCCAGCAAGCCAAGGAAACGTTTCCTGAATCCCTCTTTCCTACACGCCGAAACAGACACGCAGACAAAGCGGGAGAGGGCGGAGGACGAAATCGCTCAGGGGAAATAGATGCTATCGGGGTTTATCACCCAAGGGAGGGCGGGGGGGGTCGGGGACCGAGAAGCAGCAGACGCCTCACGCGCACACACACCCCGTCATGTCATCCCCACCGGCGGCCGCTGCAACCGCGTGGGCCC